AAGAAGAAGAAGAAGAAGAACAACAACAACAACAACAACAACAACAACAACAACAACAACAACAACAACAACAACAACAACAACAACAATAACAGCAACTGTAATAAATTTTGGTCTTCTTTTCCTCCTCCTCCTCCTTAAATTATTGTCATGGAATCTGACCGTTATCAGTTAACTAAGATAAGTAATAGTAGTATGCCTGCTGTTTTTACAAGCGAATCTACTAACTCTCATTTTCTCGATTCCACTAATGATGACGACACTGAATAAGATCAGAGCGACGTAGAGGACCAAACGAACCCGGATGACCGCATACTCAGTCAGGCGCTCAAGTGGCATGACGTCAGCGGAAGTATAGTCTCGGATATCATGCGCGGTATTCTGAGGACGTAGAGACAGCGCAGTGCAAGTGCTTGAGTGAATGGGTTTTTATTGTTTCGTACTTCGCTACCTTGGAATCACAAAGTTCTAGGCTATCTGAGACATTTTTGACCGTTTTGAGTTATTAAGGTCATATGGTCCGAAAGCAAATTAAATTATGTTCTATCTACTCTATCAAAATCACCCCCGGGGCGGTGCTACTGACTGAAGTGTCTTTAGGCCAATCCCAAAGGGGGAACATTAACCATGCTCTTATGCACAGTAGAATTGTAATTGTAAATGGGCTGATTCATCAATGCAATGCTCATAACTGTGCCTGAACTACAACAGGGAACTGCTGCTTTTTCTTTCCTAATCTTTGCTATCGTCATTTTTTCCTCAACTTCTTTTGTACGTTTGTCACACTCATGTGACCCGCCATTTTCGGGGTGCCTTGATAGTCGAAGCAGACTTTGTGCTCTTGAAGCTAGAGAGATGAGCAGAGTAAGTCTCATTCCTTGTAAGGACTTCTCTGTTGACATCCACCCCTTGGCGCTCATGTGACCTTATGCAGTTGCGAGCGCTGTAAAACCTCTACTAAAACAATAAAACTATCAAAATCGTAATATTATTTGAAGTTGTTGTCAGGATTTTCAAAGAATTGTATTCGAAAAAAACTTGATGTGAAAAAAATCACATTTTTCGACGAACTTGGTACTGAGCAGATAGAACTTTGTAATTTCGAGATAGCGACTTGAATACCTGCTTTTGCAACTCCCGTGCAAAACTGTATTAATCATATGTATGCGTGCGTGTTTGTGTGTGTGTGTGTGTGTGTGTGTGTGTGTGTGTGTGTGTGTGTGTGTGTATATGCATGTGTGTATGTGTGTGTGTGTGGTAAGAAGATAAAAGGAGTAAGTAAGTTAAATGGTAAGTTTGATTAATGTTTAAGGCCATTTGCCCGCATCTCATCACATAAAACACACATTTAATAAGTAAAGTTTCCATACTGAATCAGTACAGGTTGTGCACATATCTCTTATCGTGGGTCAAACATTGCATATTTCTGTCACTGGGCCGAGTCAGGCTGGGAGGAATTAACAATTTCCTTTGATGGACAAAGTGTGAACAATTAAAAATAAAGTGAAATTTATCTTCAATTTCATGAGTTACACCTCTCACATAAGGGCGAATTAGTTCATTTCCACCGATAGAGATTGCTACTTAATGGAAGGCTATTGGTTTTTAACAAAGCTATAGCTCTTCTGCTCCAATACCGAGAGAGGTTGGTGATACATTCAGCCGTTTCTTGAAACGGAATTGTAAGAGAGAGAGAGAGAGAGAGAGAGAGAGAGAGAGAGAGAGAGAGAGAGAGATATTACGGCGACGAAGACTAAGAGTCTAAAGTTCCACAATAACAACCTATTTTCGAACAAATAGCCAATAGAACTGGAAAGCTTATTCTCAATATTTGCTTGTCATCCACGCTAGTTACAGACGTATCAAACGAACAAAAACGATGAATCTCCATCAGTAGTGTAACGCTTAGGTGCTTCGCAATCGCTCGTAAGAGACCAGAGTTCGGTTTCCGAGGGGATGGGGTTGAGAGAAAATAAGTTATCTAGATGAAAGTGGCTATTCTCACCCGCCCGGAAGTTCTCGCAAGATCAACTCCTCTCCTCTTCTCTCTCTCTCTCTCTCTCTGTCTCTTTCTGAATACTGTCTATCGGTGTGGACGATCAAATTGACCAAAACAAAGTTAAAAAATGATGTTAAAACACAAAAGTAAATAAATTTGGTTGTCTACAAAGATGCTACGGCTATTTAACTTTTCGAATCGAGCCGAACTACGCGGGTCGCCATTTTGTTTTGCCCGGAAATTCTCGCGCTACTCCTCTCTCTCTTTCTCTCTCTCTCTCCACTGCCCACAGACAAAATTGTACGCTTTTAGTAGGCTACAATTGTAAGGGAACGTTTGTTCACGGCACAGAATTCTACAATTTTTCTGTTATCACAGTGTAGAATTCTGTGGTTTAGGGTGAACGCAAAATTTGGTGAACGCGCACCGTGTGAGAATAGCCACAAGACTCGCCTGCACTATTCTCACTCCGGGTGAGAATAGAGGTGGCCTATCTAGATCTAGAATCTAGATCTAGTATGTTGTTCACTGCGCTGAGATGTATTCCTCCCAGCTCGAGTTGACTCTAATAGGCTGGGTCGAAGTCTGCCTCCTAAACGATCTAAATTGTGTCAATGGGGAAGTTAAAACAACTATTCTTTTTAAAGAATAAAATAGATAAAGCCAACCTCAGTCCACAATTCCTGTATTAAAACATCACATTTATTGAGATATTACCTGTTCTAATAGCAAACTCCGTCCTCTTAAGTGTACAGAAGACTCTCACAACCGGACTCGTAAATTTACACACTCCAATAACACACAATCTTAAGAATGACCCCTGCGAGAGAGTAAAAATATCGAGTTGAATCAAACTCATGTTATGAACTCTCGAAAACCTGTTTCTGTTCTCCTCTAAAAGCGTGTCAACACGTAATGGCGTTTGTGAAGAGTACGCATGTAATGACCAACCGCCCCCCCCCCCCCCAAAAAAGCAAAGAAACAAACTTAATGAAGTCTCAGAGAAGGAAAAAGGGACAGGGGAGGACATATAGTATAGCTTGTTCACTTTCGTCTGACTTCATTTTTTTAAAAAGGAAATTCTCGCTCATTTATTTATTTGCCAATGCACGAATGTTTTTCTTGGCACCACTGTTGACCAGCGGCCAAATTATAACGGGTTTTTTTCAAGTGTTTTTTTTTTTGTTTTGCTTTTAAATCTTGATTCAGTAATTTCAAATATCAATTAATGCCTCCCCTTAAAATCCCTACAATAAATGGTTTGCAGTAACCTCACCCACAAACTACCCATTTTAAGAAAGCGACACCATCCTGCCCCAAAATTCAGTGTAAGCACGTAACCCCCCCCCCCCCCCCCCCCCAACACAAAAAAAACACACCCAACAAAACAAATAAAACGTCTATCTTTAGAATCTTGAAAAGTACTCACCCGTTTTTTGGACCGTGTTTCATAGGCTGAAACTCGTTATGAAAAGAAAAATTAATTTTTTTTAAAGGATTTTTTGGGGGGGGGGGGGGTTTGGGGGGGGGGGGGGTGTAAAGGAAATATCGTTGAATGCACACTTCATTTAGTTTTTCGGTTCATTTTCTTGTTCATCCTAATTGATCAAGGAATGCGAATCGAGTGAACTGTTCGTGTAACCCTGGGGATCACAAGTTGTCTGAGGTTGTCCTTTCTTGACAATTGTATGCTTGAGTGCAAATGAACTTTACAAACTTTACAACACCACTGCCATTGTGAACGACCAAGACAAATTTCTTCCGAAGAGATGAATAAAGATTGTCATTGCCTTAAAGAGAGAGAGAGAGAGAGAGAGAGAGAGAGAGAGAGAGAGAGAGAGAGAGAGAGAAAGAGAGAGAGACAGGGACAGAGAGAGACAGAGAGAGACACAGAGAGAGAGAGACAGAGAGAAACAGAGACTGACAGACAGACAAACAGACGGACGAACAGAAAATGGATATAATGCATACATTATATCGCTCTCGCTCTCTCTCGTCCGAGCAAATAATTTATCGACGCAACCTCAAACACCACTGCACCTTGCTCGATTAGCCAGATCTGGTTTGGTTAGAGGGTCTCGGTTCTTGTCGGCTAGATGAGTATCAATTCCGAAAAATACCGTACTTTCAGAATTCCCAGCATGATTACAGTCTACGTCTTCATTTTGGATGAGGTCAAGCACGCAGTAATACACTATATTCCTACGTCTGGGCCACCAGTACATGCTCTGGCCCTCTGTTTAGCTCCCCATAAAGAAATTGTTAGCCAAGACTGAGGAGCATAGAATAGAAGAAATAGGTTGTATTCATAAGTTCAGCAGCCCATGCCTCTATCCCCCTCTCCCTTTTTTCTACATGGTACTAAATACCAACTGAGAATGGCACCCGGCACCCATGTTGAGATTACCGCCACCTCTACAAGGTCATCACTACTGACAGATAACCCACTCCACTCGTCCGAGATTTCTCAGCAACTTTGTTGTCTTGTTGTTGTTGTTGTTATTTTTTTTGGTGGGTTTTTTTGTTTGTTTGTTTTTGTTGTTTTGTTTTTTGTTGGTTTATTTGTCTATTTTGGTTGTTTGTGTTCCAAGTGCAGCTTTTACTTATTCTTTACTCTGAGCCAGTAAAACAAAGTCCGTTTCTTTTACTATATGAAACATGATTTTTTTTTCTTTGTAACATAAATCCGAATACCCCCCCCCTTTTTTTTTTCCTTGAGGGATAGAAAGAAGAAAATAATCGAATAAGGCTTGCTTTAATAGTGCAAGTCAAGTCAGGGATTAACCTTGCTACCTGTAAAATATGATAATCTAGTACCACCTGTTGTCTGTGAGGCTATAGCATGGCGTGGCATCAATGAGTTCGAGGAGGCTAAAATGAGCCCAACTGCCATACGCAAAGATTTATACCTATCTAGGGTTTAGACTGTGGTCCTGGTCAACAGTAGTTCTTTTTATATGTTGTGTATATACCTAAAAGGCTCTGATCAGCGAGCATCCTTTCTATGGGCAGGTTTGGCAGTGTTGGCTGCAGGCTAATGTCGCGATTTTGGGAAAATTAGGAGGTGACAAACCACAATCCCAGTCGTGACGCCATGCGTGACGGTGGCTAGAGCACCCGTCGTGCTCTGGTGTTCTTTGGTCTGGATCAACTTATATAGAGAATCTGTGGTATAATCAGGCGCTCGCCAAACATACTGAAATCGAAGAAACCCGTATTTTCCCGCCGCTCTGGCAATTTCTATCCCTTTTTTCTTGGGGGGGGGGGGACTCGATGCCTTTAATGTTCAATTTAAAACACATGTCTGTGTAGATTTGACTAAAATCGTTGATTCAAAGCACAACAAATTTAAACTTTCACTTTCCAAGGGCTGTCAAACTTATGGAAGTTAGTAAACTTTGGCGGCCATTTTCTTGCTAATTTTACCGCTGAAACCTTCATCTGCAAATATCTTGACTTCTATCCAAGATAAATATTTTGGGTTTTTTCCTCAAAATCAAGGAAAATGAACAAATTTAATGATGATACCAATAACTTCAAAATAAACTCAAAAACTGACGAGCGCCTGATTCCACCACGTCGTAACACCTATGGATAACTGGGACTGCGAGGCTTTAGGGGCAGTATAGGTGGACAAATCAGTACGATTGACACCATCTTTACTTTACTTTACTTTTTTCTTCCACTTGTACCGGTGGGTGTCGCGGGGAGACACAGGCGTCTGTCTGCAGCAAGGCGAGTGGCCTGTAGGAGGGACATCCCGTAAGCTCTGAGGGTGTCTGCCACAGATTCACTCCATCGTCGCCTTGGTCTTCCTCTGACTCCCCATCCAGAATATTTAATGTTGAATGCTCTCAGAGCTGGATGGTTTGAGGGCATCCGCGTGAGGTGTCCGAACCACTTGACCTTTTGTTTTTCAATATGTGGTAGGACTGGTGTTGCTCCTACGGTGTCATTTTTTATTTTGTCTCTTCTTGTTTTGTTGACCACTCTTCTTAAGCATTTCATCTCGCATTTGATCAGTTTCCTCTCTAGGGCTTTTGTTAGGGACCATGTCTGGCACTGATATGTGAGTGTTGGTAGGAAAATGGCGTTGATGAGCTTCGCCTTGGTGCTCATGGGGATATCGGGATGTTTCAGGAGAGGGTCCAGTTGACAGCTGACTGCGTAGGCTTTCTGGCATCTAGTCTCTATTTCTCGATCTAATTTTCCATTTTCTGTGAAAATGCTGTCCAAGTATTTGAATTCGCTGCTTTGGTTTAGTTGGTATCCATTATTGATGTTGATATCCACTTTGTCTGGTCTCCTGCTAATTGTCATGACTTCGGTCTTGCTAATACTGACCTTCGTGCCATATTTCTCGCAGCTCGCATTTAGACACCATCGGCAACTCATTTGTCTTGTTGTATGTCTGTTTGTATCGACTCTTGCCTCACCAAGTTAAGTGAATCTGATGTGTGCTTAGGTTTTTCTCATTTTTTTTACAAACCTCTCATTGAGCCTGTCTTGACACCTACCTTTCTCAAGTCATCAAAGTGTATGGCTAGCAGCTATACAGGTAATGAAGAATTTTGCCTTTTTTGGTAGTGTACTTTATACTTTATACTAATAAGATAAGACAAGATAAGATACATCTTTATTGTCCAGATCCTGGCACGTTGGTTTGGTGTTTCACCACGTGTACTCACATACACACACACACACACACACACACACACACACACACACACACACACACACACTCATGCACACACACGTAGGCTTACAATCACATGCATAAATAAAAGCATAATGCTAGAATTGGTACTGAAGTTGCTCCAAAGATAAGCCAGCTCTGCATTTGGTAGACAGAGAAATAGAGTTTGGGTTGCTTCTGGTATATTTACAGATTTAAAACTCAGAGTGCATACCGCTATCCTGTAATTAGCCCTTTTGTATGGAGCTGAGTCCTGAACAGTAAACGAAACATAATATGATCATGTCAACAAGCTCTACAGGTTTCATCTCTCCGGTCTTAGAACAATAATGGAGATTTACTGAGGATATAAGATATCAGACACTGAAGTTCTTGAGAGGGAGAAACCCCCTTTTCTGCCTTCTAAAGAAAATACAGCTTAGATGGGCATGGCACTTGGGTCGAATTTCATAATGGACGGGCTATTATTATTAGATCTATTATTATTATTATTATTATTATTATTTGTTGTTGTTGTTGTTGTTGTTGTTATTGTTGTTGCTGTTGTTGTTGTTGTTATTGTTGTTGTTGTTGTTGTTGTTTGTTGTTGTTTGTTTGTCTGTTTTATAAAGGGCGTTTGATTAAAAAATATAATACTTTGGTCCACTTTCTTTTAAAGATAGGGCCTCCTCGAAAAAGTCAATGGATTGCCTCTGAATGAGATGGCTTTCCGGGGCGCTGTAGGCTAAGTGCTTCAAGGATATACTGTACTGTGTGCGCATGGCGAACTGTAAAATTTGCATTTCTCACAGGTAAGGCGCCATCTTGATTTGTAGTTAACGATGTGGTTTTCAAAGATGTTTATTTTTAGCTTCCCCGATAAACCCATACGGCTCGCGAGTAATATCGCTACTGATACAGGAACTCCATCATCGTTTTATCTCGACATGGATTGATAACTAATCACCAGAACACCGTGCCTGTGTCTCTGTTTTTCTTCCCTGGCCCATTTTCCTCCTCTGAGAATTCACTTTGTTTATTGTCGTCGTTACTCTTTACACACGCCGAGGTGTGTTGACTCATTTTTAGAGGACAACAGATAAGGTTTGCTTAAGCTCATGATTGTGATTCAACTGGATATTTTTACGCTCGGGCAATTGTCATTCTTCTTAAGGACATGTGTTATCGCAGTGTGTAAATTTACGAGTCTCATTTTGTGAGTGCGTGTGTTTACTGGAGGACCGACGTTCGCTGTGGGAACTGGTTACGACGTCTAAGTAAGTTTTACGTTTTAATACAAGAGTTATGGTTTGAAGAAGAAGGCTTTATTCATTCTACTCTTTTGTTTTGAATTAGGCTAGGTGTTATACGCCACTATTGATACGATTTAGGTAATTTAAGAGGCGGGCTTAGATCCTTCCTTTTAAAGCCAACGTGGTGCTGTGAGGGATAAGAGGGATACAACATTACAGCAGAAGAATGAGGTACTCGATAACCCCCCCCCCCCCTCTTTGAGTGTGTATGCAGTTGTGTGGGTTTGTGTATGTGTGTAAATGTGTGTGTGTGTGCGTGCGTGCGTGTGTATGTGTTTGTGTGTGTGTGTGTGTGTGTGTGTGTGTGTGTGTGTGTGTGTGTGTGTGTGTGTGTGTGTGTGTGTGTTCTTTATTCGTTGTGTTAACCTGAGCTGTTTTGATATTGTACTCCCTGGAGGTCGAAGGTAAGACTTCCACACATCATATCCATCGAAAGAGGGCTCACACCCCTTTTCTATCTCATAGTGGAAATGTACATATTAATATCATCTCCGCTAATATTATGATATCAATACGTTTGTGTTTCAGCGCCTTTTAATGGCAGCTTACATTGTATGCTAACCAGGCATTTGAGATAATAAAATTTAAGAATGCTATCAGGTCTGAAATAGTATAAATTGTAAAGCGCATAGCTTGCTGTGCAGCGGGAAATTGCGCTATACAAATTACAAATGTTGTCTATTCATCTATCTATTAACATATCTTATTATTGTTGTTGTTATTGTTATTATTACTATCATTATCATTTTTACTATTATTGTTATTATTATTCAAGCTCAAGTGTTACTGTCAGTGTGCGGTATCAATTTTGGTATTTTGTCTTCCCCATGATTCCTTTTTCATACCTTTTCATTACTCTTATACCTCGGACGAATTGCCCGTCTCAAAGGACATCAGTGTTCGTCTAACGATAAGTTGTCACACGCATACAGAAAACAGAAAGAGTGTTCGTTATTGCTACGGTATCAGACACAGGGGTTACTCAACACATTTTCTCACCCCCCCCCCCTACCCCCGGGCAATGCCGCTGACTGAAGTGTTTTTGGGCCATTCCCAAAGTGTGGATATTATAAATATGCTCGTATGCACAGAAGAATTGTAAATGAGCTGACTTATCAATGTCATGCTCACACTGTACCGAAACAACATAGGGGGACCTGCCGCTTTTTGTTTCCTAATCCTTATGCTATCGTCATTTCCCTCTACTTCATTTGTATGTTTGCCGCTCTCTTGTGAACTATTATTTCCGGGGTGCCTTGATAGTCGAAGCAGATTTTGTGCTGTTGAGGCGAGGGAGGTGAGCAGAGAAAGCCTGATTCCTCGTTTGGACTTCTCTGTTGACATCCCCCATTTGGCACAAGAGTGACAAACATACAAAAGAAGTAGAGGAAAATGACAATAGTAAGGATTAGGAAAGAAAAAGCAGCAGTTCCCAGTTGCAGATCAGGCACAGTTATGAGCGTGACATGAATCAGCCCATTTACAATTCTACTGTGCTTGAACGA